TTTTTTTTTTTTTCTTTTCTGCTGATAGTTTCTTATGCTGTGCAGAAGCTATTTACTTTCTGCACAGATAAAGTTGAATTTATTACATCCCATTTGTCCATTTTTGCTTTTGTTGCAGTTGCTTTTGGCATCTTCATCATGACATCTTTGCCCATTCCTATGTCCAGAATAGTATTGCCTAGGTTGTCTTTTAGAGTTTTTATAGAGGTTAAATGATATTTATTAGGCATATAGTGATCATAGTTGAAAATGAGTGACGGGTATATAGGGGTTTTTAATACTACTTTCTATCTGTGCTTTGAGTTTTTTTTTTTCCACAGACAAAAATTTAACATTTTCTGAGATTTCAGTTTTTGAAATACACAACTCCTACAGCACAAACACAGTGTTTATATTTCAAGTTCTTTGTACAAAAGATATGTGTCATTTTGAAAGAATACTGTTGAGATCATGATCTGAAATACCTGTTAGGATTGAAAAGAAATTCTTGGAATCTGGTCTCCAAAATCCATTGCATTATGACATAAATAAAATATGCTAGACACCAAGGCTTAACCATACATAAAAATACTAATTCTCAGCTGGGTGCAGTGGGAGGCGGAGGCGGGTGGATCACCTGAAGTCAGGAATTCGAGACCAGCCTGACCAATATGTAGAAACCCCATCTCTACTAAAAATACAATATGTAGAAACCCTGTCTCTACTAAAAATACAAAAATTAGCCGATGAGTTTAAATTTTAAAAATAAACCATATATATTCTTATATATAGTTTTAAAATTATATATAATTCAAAACTACATCTAAAACTGGTTTCTAATTAGAGACTTGTGGCTTGGAAGGAGCAAGGCTTTCTAGGGTCACTTGCTGACCCCTGCAGCCCCCTAACCAATTTATCAGCATAGTATTGGCAACTCGGTGACATAGTTTATCACTTTGGGGAGGTTACTAATCCTTACCTAAACAGCCCTGATGCCATAATAATATTGCCACCAGAGTCATTGTGATAAGATACATGTGAGAAGTACTTGTATAGAATTTACAGCTGATAACATTTTTATGTTGCAAATTCCTAATTTCCTAATCAATAAAACATTTGCATTTTAAACCAGCATCAAGCACAGCACTTTAAATATAGTATTATGAAATCATTCTACTATAAGGACACGTGCACACGAATGTTCATTGCAGCACTGTTTACAATAGCAAAGACCTGGAAACAACCCAAATGCCCATCGATAATAGACTGGACAGGGAAAATGTGGCACATATACACCATGGGATATTATGCAGCCATCAAAAACGATGAGTTTGTGTCCTTTGTAGGGACATGGATGAACCTGGAAACCATCATTCTCAGCAAACTGACACAAGAGCAGAAGATTAAACACCGCATGTTCTCACTCATAGGCGGGTGTTGAACAACGAGAACACAGGGACACAGGGAGGGGAGCACTACACCCTGGGGTCTGTTGGGGGGAAACGGGAGGGTCCGGGGGGGTGGGGAGTTGGGGAGAGATAATATGGGGAGAAATGCCAGATATAAGTGATGGGGAGGAAGACAGCAAATCACACTGCCACGTGTGTAGCTATGCAACAATCTTGCACGTTCTTCACATGTACCCCCAAACCTAAAATGCAATAAAATAAATAAAAATATAGTATTATGTATCTTATATATAGTAAATTTATTTCCTAGATGAACTAATTTTCATAAATAAAACATACTTGTAGGCATTTCTCATTTTGAGAAAACATCACATTTTCTCTTTCTTTGAAACATTTTTCTCTCTTTTTTAGGAAGCTGTTTTAGGTTATGGGAAAGAGATGTTTTCTCATCTCTAAAGCTTACCAGAAGCTCTGATCTGAAGAGAATAAATGGATTTTGCACCAAATCACAGGAAAGTCCCAAAGCTCCATCCCGTAAGTTTTTATTTTTTCTATATATGGAGTAGGTAATTCCCAAAGAGTAGGAAAACTTGGTATCTAAATAACCTGAAAGAGAGAGTTTCCTACATCATACCCTGTCATGTAGGGAGAACACATTGTGTTCACACTGTGCATGTGCACATGACCAGTATGAGTACAACATGCGAGGCCTGATGGAGGCCCATGTTTCTACATCAGACCTCCCATGTTGTACTCATATTGGTCATGTGCACATGCACAGTGGTTTCTTCATTTTCATCTCCTTCTTGCCTCTAGGGTTGGACTGGAGCTCTCTCTAGGAGTATGGATGCACCAAAGTAAATAGTAATCCAGAAATTATGTTTTAAAGAACTCCAAAGATGAACCAAATTAAGATATTATGCATTAGGTAAAATATAAGCATGGCCTTCTTATCACCCTCACTGGCTTTGTTTTTGCACGGATTTAAGTAGTATTCATGTTCTTTCCTTCCTCAGCTGGGTCTTTTCCTGTCTTTAGTTAAAATACTGCTGTTGTTTTAGTCATCCAAGTTTGAGGTTCTTCGTGACTCCTTCCTCTTTGTCTTAACCAGTCTCCAAATTCTTTGAGTGATCCCCAGATTGACTTCATCTCTCTTCCCACTGCTACAACTCTGGTTCAGACTGTATCCCGTCACCCTTGTATTACAATCTCCCATTTGGACTTTTTTCCCACTCTACTCTGTCCCCCTTTTCTCTATCCATTGTACAGATAAACCTTCATAAAACAATTTCTTCCTGATTAAAAATGTACCATAGTTCCCCAATCAAGTCTAAACCCCTTAACCTGGCATTCAAGGTCTGTTAAAATCTGATTGTACCATACAAACTTTTTCTTAGTCTACTGAAGTCAGATAAGTTCCTCACTATTCCCATCTTAGTTCATCCTTGCTTCATATTTTTGTTCTTGATGTTCTTTCAGTTTTCAATGGGTAAGACTTACATCAGGAATTAATACTTTTATTTTACCTCAGTCCCCATGAAATTTTAGAATCTTATTTGGAAAATGAGGCATCCTAAGAAATTCCATCCAAATAAAGGTGTAATTAACTTGAAGTTTCTCAGTGTTTCTGTTGTGACTAGTTAAAAAGCACTAATAGCATTAATAGCATTTTTCTGTTGTTTGAGAGTTATAATCTCAAACAAGTAAGATTTCTTGTCTGGTTTTTCTCATAGGCATTTACACCCACGGAGTGCCTTTACACAAACCTACGAAATGGGAGAAAAAGATCCTGATATGGTCAGGTCGCTTCAAAAAGGAAGATGATATCCCAGAGACTATTTCGTGAGTGCCGAATTTAGTATTATAAGCAGCTTTCATTTCTCACTGATCTGTTTTAAGGGAAAAGCAGTGCCTCTGAGTTCCAGATATTTAAAACTTTTCAACTTTTTTCACTTTTCCAGAAGTTTTATCTTTGGTAAGTACTTGGAATAAAAACAATGCTAGAAAACCTGTGTCTTATCTTTGATATGTTACATAGTGAAAAACTGTCGGGTAATCTGAAGTCAGTTGATTATTTGATTTCATCTCCTAGCTACAGAAGTGTGACTTTTTTAAGTTTGTTTTTAATCTAGATATATAAATTAAGTACCACTGACAATGAGTAGATTCCCCAGAATCCACTTAAGTACTCTAACCTTAGGCATAAAAATATTTAAATGCAACACTCTCTTTTTGGAATTTAGGAAAGAGTGCTTCCTGTCATCAACTTTCTTAAACCTAAGGGAAGGGATCTTGGCTGGGATCTTGGAACTTTTTCAGAGTTTGTAGTTGATGAGTGCAGGTTCTTCCAACCTAGTTTCTCAACACAGTACTATTGATATTTGGGGCTCGTTAATGCTTTGTGACAGGGGCTGTCCTATTTGTTGGAAGATGTTTAGCAGCATCCCTGGCTTCTGCTCCCTAGATGCCTGTAGCATTGCCTCAGTGCTGACAACCAGAAATGTCTCCACACATTGCCAAATGTCCAAGTGGCACAGAGGGCGCGGGGTGGGGGGAATCTTCCCTGGTTGAGAACCCGTGCCCTAGCCTCATGTTAGAGACCCCAACTGACTGGCATTCTGGCTAAAGAGAGATTCTGAGAAATAGATATCATCTCCCCTGTGAGGCATCATCCTGTTCAGGGACAGGGACTTTAGACAAAGCTCCTGGAAGCTCCCTGTCAGCAAGAAACTATAGCTGGATCTTCTGGTCTCCAGTTTCAAGTCATGATTGAAAAAGATCTAAGCTCATTCAACATTTCTTTCCCAGGGAAATATGTAGTATTTACTTTCTGTTTACAACAACTTTAATAGAGCTTTTCTGCTTCTGCCAAATTAAGAAGACCACATTAACTAGAATTATTTCAGCAGGAAAGCCCTAGTTTTTCTTAGCTCAAATCATGTATTCTTCTGGGAAATAAGAGAATACTGGAAATAACAATGGCATCAAGTTCTTGCCTATGCCCAAATTCTTCCTGACTATACCAGCAGAAAATACACTGGTATACACTCATGGCCCTAACAGATGCTACATAGGCTTTGCTATAGAACACCTTCCTCAGTCTGCCTAATAGTTGGTTCCCAGATCCCCTCAGGCCCAAAATAGGACCTCATGAGTCACTCTAGAAGGGTCTTTTCTGGGCCTGGGCAGCCATTATCCTTGTACTGGTAGTTCTGAACAGGCACTGCTTAACTTGCCCATTCCCATTACTCCCTATGGGATGGATTGCTTTTCATGAGGATCATGGCACTTCAAATCCCATAAAATACGTCAACATGGGAAGTCAGTTTGTGGTTAGTGGAATCTCAGATGCTCCTAACTGACCAATTCAATGGTCCTTAGCAGCAGTTATCTTGGGTTCCTGCCAGCCTGCAGGCCCAGCTGAAGTGCCTGAAGAACCCCCATCCACATGCTGCCTCACAGGTTCCAGCTCTTACGTCACACATTGTACATGCCTTCAGCATCCACCTCCTTCCACCTGCAACATCCCAGACCCTTTGCCTCCTTCCAAGCATTCTTAAAGTACTCCCCTTCCCAATTTTAAAATTAATGTATGTTAAATATCTCAGAGGAAAGAAAGCACTTCATTCCATTCAGCTAAACACTTCCTCTTTACACCTCTACTGAGAAGGCCAGAGGTTCTTTATTCTGGGCCCCGTAAGGACGAGGTTCTGCCAGACATCCGGGTAACAGAATCATGACCACCAGGTGTGGCAATGCATGCCTATAGTCCCAGCTACTCAGGAGGCTGAGGCAGGAGGATCTCTTGAGTCTAAGATCTTGAGTCCAGCCTGGGCGACATAGTGAGACCCCATCTCTTTAAATAAAGTAAATAAAAAAGAAGCGTGACCCACTGCCTACTTGCAAAATCACCAAAGTAGATTGGCCTTCTCTTTAGACTCTTCTATGTTAAGCCTCTTAGCTTTCACACAAGAATGATGAACCAGTCATCAACTTTTTGTTAAGGCACATGGGTCTGTATTGAGTGGATAGGTTAGTGCACTTGGGCACTTGCCAAAGACCACAATTTCAAGTTCACTGTCGCTCAATTTTAGAAACATTACTTTAAAAAGATAAATATTAAGGAGCATCGCTTAAAGAATCTTCCTACTATTTTAGATATTCTCAAATCTATTCCAGGTTCAAGATAGAGAGCAAAAAGCTGGGTATATGAAGCACGTTGGTTAACTTTCTCCAATATTTGTCTTTTTGAATTGTGCTTTCTGTTGAAACATAATGAAGCTCATTGTAGTATCTGTTGTCAAGATGTTTTCAGACTATGACTAGATTACATAATATCTTCTTAAGAACCCCAGGGAGAAACAGCTACTGGTTTTACTTTTAGCATGTATAGGCTGCTTGGAAACCTGAGAGCCAAAATTGGGATCCACCTTAGCAAATGTAGTTTAATATGCCTTGCCCTTTTTTTTCTTCGTTCTTGACTTCACTTTCTGTTTTCTTCTTTTGTACTTAAGTGTATACTATCTTGCTGTATTTTATATATAAATGAGTTATGAAAAATGCCTCATCCTCCCCAAAGTCCTGAGATCTCTAGGTCTCCCTATTTATAGACACTACTACACTTTGAATTTATACACAGAACTTTTTATCCTGGACAACTTCAGAAAGGGAAAAGTTAATAACTTTCTCTCATGATCTCTAGGTTTGAGATGCTTGATGCTGCAAAGAACAAGGTCCGAGTGAAGGTTAGCTATATAATGATTGCTCTGACAGTGGCAGGATGCATCTTGATGATTATTGAAGGCAAGAAGGTGAGAAGGGGTTTCTTTATCCACTGTCTATGTTCTCCACCAAGAACCTAGAAGAAATCAGGAATTGACCCTCGTATTTACCCTCTGAGAAGAGGAGGCTACTTTCCATATTACATGAGAAAAGATAAGCAAGAAAATAAGACATTGGGAACAAGCCTAGGTTATCATGCTTGGGGATAAAATAGCAAATCCTAACTTTGGCGTGATGAAGAAGGACTACACTCATTTTGTGTAACGTAAATTTAAAAAGTATTTCTTATGACATATCATAATGTAAATTAAGAAATATAACATTGGCATATTTAATAACCCATTGCATATTTATAGAGTGGTGTCAGTACCAAAGTGTATTTATCTTCACCATAACTGCCTTCATCATGGTGAGCCTTCTTAGTGAGCTTTATTTGAAGCTCAGCCAAACAGGGCCTTATGTCTAAGGACCACAGCTCCTAAGCAGTACATAGGAATGCAAGTCCAGAAATCTTTAGCACAGAATATAATTAATAGCTATCACTAATTGAACACTCACTGCATTCCAGGTACTTTCTAGCTGGTATCTCATCAAACCTCACACAAACCCTGTAAGATAGGTATTTTTAGGACTTCATTTGTAGATGAGGAAAACTATAGCTTAGAAAGTTTTAGTTACTTGCCCAAGGCCACACATCTCCCTAATGACAGAGCCACAATGTGAACCTAGACCCAATTCAGGTAATAATACAATTGCTCCCATTTATTGAGTACTTATTATGTAACAGGTACTGTTAAGCTCATTTAATCACCCCAATAACCTTAAGAGATAGATGGTTTTCCCAAACTCACACAGCTAACAAGTGGCAAGATACAAATTTAGACCCAGGTTTGCAGGTTATCAAACGTATTATACGATCTTGCTATTAAGCTATAGTTATGTTTATATTCAGCAGCTTTGGTCAAATTCTTCTTTTAATTCTACGCCTAATTCTGTATATCACAGATTCAATGTGGAAAGAGATGTCTTGTAACTATTTTAAGATACTGAAAAGGTCATTCTACACATCCACTCTTAACTGACTTTCTTATGCTCAGTAATTCCAGAGTGAGGAAATGTACTTTTGGCTCTCTTTAGTCTTGCAGTTAAATGGAAATTCCATTTTAGGCTGACCTCATGGGAGTACGAAGGGCAAATGTGCTGACCTGGGTGAAGTTCTCTTGAAAACTGTTCCCATCCCACTTCATTTGTTCGTCTGCCTCTTTGACCTTTCATGCATAGTTCAGATTGAAACCAGCAGAAACATGGGAGTAGGACTGTGAGCTTCTAGAATTCTGAGAAATTTGCATTGCTTTTATATACTCGATTATACTAGCTGAGTTTAAACACTCCAGAAGCAAATTATTCACCTGGAATCTCTTCTAGGATCATCCAGGGGTTTATGCTGTGTACTTTAGAGAGTTATTCTCCTGTTCTATACCATAAAATTGTAATATTTTACATTTTATGAAATTTCCATTTCTCTAAATGCTACTGGAATGGAGAACTTTTGAACTTAATGTGATTTGGAAGAGAATAATTAGCCATTGTATATTTGCTCTCATCAACTTCCCTTTCTCCTCCCCCTCCACATACCTAATTCTTTTACATATGAAATACACAGATAGAAGAAAATACCAGCTTAGGGTGCTAGTTTCACTTATTTGGTATAAAAGTTTTGAAACTGGCCTGTCTGTAAGCTTCATAGAAACATACAGTTTACATGGAGAGAAGTAAGGGAAGAGAACAGTTGCCTCCCTCACTCAGATGATGGAATTGTAGTACAGGTACTCCCGGAAATCATCAATGGTAGTACTTTGGTAGAAAGTCTGGGATTCCCAAAGCTGAATGTTTTTGGTAAAAGAAGAGTGAGGACTAGAAGGGTGTGAGTATACAGATGAGTTGGGTAAGGAGAAATGGTAGCAACAAAGAAAAGTGAAAATCAAAATGGGATAGAAATGACAACGAGGAGGTATTTAGTATAAAAGAGAAGTGGGATGGAATGAGAAGAAAGTATAAGAGAAAAGGAGAGGATAAAGATTTAAAGAACAGGGCCAGAATGGAAGAAAAAGGAGAGGCGTGGCTCTTCTCTCTTTGGCTTGAATGGATGAGCTGCTGTTCTCAGAAGCATCAGAGGAAGTTGAAGCACATGGAGGAGACTGCCACGCCCAGTGTCCAAGTAGCAGAGGACTCCATGTCTCTACTGCCCTGTTAACCTGCTGTAGTCAGTGCAAGGCAGACACCCTCCCCTGACCATCATACAAATCACCTGTTCAAATCTGTTTTGCTTTAGGCTGCCCAAAGACATGAGACTTTAACAAGCTTGAACTTAGCAAAGAAAGCTCGTCTGAGAGAGGAAGCAGCTATGAATGCCAAAACAGAGTAGCAGAGGTCTCCATGTTGGCTGAATTTTGAAAATCCAGGAATTACGTTGCGACAAGCCTGTATTAAAAAGGACATGGTATGAGGATCCACTTCATAAAGTATGGTTTGCCCAAACCTTTGCCTTTTCTGTATTTCTGCTATAGTAGAAATAAATTTTCTTAAAGAATGACTGTGTCTTATAGTTTTGATTCAACTAAAGTGTAGCCTCTCAGCCTTTTGGAGAAAAATGAAACAGCTTATTTCAACTTGAATACCAACTCATCTTTAGAGAAGCAGGTACTATATCTTACTTCTCTTCCCATTACCAAAGTAACCTCTCCACAGACGAACTCATTTCTGAAGAGATAAGGAAGGCCAGTTGAGTATATGGCCCGGATGCAGCTTGGAGAGCCAGCTTACTCAAATGCCCTGGTACTGGTGGGGAGGCTGCCCCCTAACAGCGAGCCCTGACAAGCAGCCAGACCACATTCTATAATTTTTTTTTGAGACAGTCTTGCTCTGTTGCCCAGGGTGGAGTACAGTGGCACAATCTCAGCTTACCGCAACCTCCACCTCCTGGGTTCAAGCGATTCTCCTGCTTCAGCCTCGCCAGTAGCTGAGACTACAGGCGTGCATCACCATGCCCAGCTAATTTTTGTATTTTTAGTAGAGATGGTGTTTTACTGTGTTGGCCAGGCTGGTCTTGAACTCCTGACCTTGTGATCCACCTGCCTCAGCCTCCCAAAGTGCTGGGATTACAGGTCAGGAATTCAAGACCAGCCTGGCCAACATGGTGAAACTCCATCTCTACTAAAAAAAAAAAAAAATTAGCTGGGTGTGGTGGCACACACCTATAATCCCAGCTACTTGGGAGGCTGAGGCAGGAGAATTGCTTAAACCGGAACTCAGGAGGCGGAAGTTGCAGCGAGCCAAGGTCGCACCACTGCACTCCAGTCTGGGCTGCAGAGCAAGACTCCATCTCAAAAAAAAATAGTTGCCTCAAAGTGCATTGTGCTGTGACTAATTTATAAAATAAACTTTATCATAGGTAGGTATGTATACCAAAAACATAATATATGCAGGGTTGGGTACTATCCAGTTTTAGGCATCCGCTGAGGGGTGCTGGAATATATCCCCTGAGGATAAGGAGTGACTACTATTATGCAGCCATGCCAACATACTGGTTATCAGAGTTACGAGAGATTAAAAAGTAATATCCATGGCTGTTTGGGCACTTTCTTCCCAAATAAAATACCCAGTAAAATGTAACATACCACCTATGGCTTGATAATCTATCTGAGGGTGTTCACGGTGTCTGTCCATATATTTCAGAGTAAATGGCTTTAGCTTCTTCATAGGTGTCAAGTTCTTTGACACTTGCAAACAATGTCAAAAAGCATAGTCTCTTGTACATTTTAGATTAGTTTTTCTTGATTATTTTGGGACACCTACACCAATGTTTTAAATATGGATAAATTTTAATGTAGAACTTCTTTTAAAAATAAGTAATCCTCTTTATAGAGCAATACAACAAAAATATGTTGTATCTTGGAGATTTACATTATAAACATAGTAACATTTATGAGCTTTAGTTTAATGAAACTTTTTTTTTTTTTTTTTGGAGGGGACAGTCTTGCTCTCTCGCACAGGCTAGAGTACAGTGGCACGATCTTGGCTCACTGCAACCTCTATCTCCTGCGTTGAAGCAATTCTCGTGCCTCAGCCTCCTCAGTAACTGGCATTACAGGTGTACATCACCACACCCAGCTAATTTTTGTATTTTTCGTAGAGATGGGGGTTTCACCCTGTTGGCCAGGCTGGTCGAACTCCTGACCTCAGGTGATCCACCTCCCTCGGCCTCCCAAAGTGCTGGGATTACAGGCATCAGCCATGGTACCAGGCCAAATTTACTGAAACATTTTTATTTTACATTTTATTCCATTTATTACATTTTATTACAAATGTTTCATTAAAGCTGATAAATGTTACTATGCATCAGGAATTTATACAGTCATTTCTCATTTGTGTCATTCTTCTATTCAGTAACATATAGTGACTATCTCATTGTGGGTTAAATATCATTTTCTTTGCCAGAATTCCAGACCTGCCCCTAAGTAATCCTGCTTCTTCCAGTACCCTCACGTACCAGCCTTATAGCACTCTTACCCTACTAGTAACTCTGATATCTCATATTCCTCAGAATGTATCAAGCAAACAAAACTTAATGAGCACTACTATAAGGTACCATAAACTACAAAAGAGTTTTTGCCCTTGTTGCTTTCAGTTATGCTACTATTTTTTGCTTAATTTCTAGATTTTTTTTGGCATGTTTATCATGTTTCCATAGGTAAAGTGGGCAGAAATCTCTTTCTACTTTGTATTTCCTGTAAGTGCTGTTTGAATAAAGTTAATATAGGACATTATGGTTAGATACTTATTTTTAATCAACATAATGATAATTTTGGGAATTTATTACTAAAATTTAAAGCAAGCAACCAATGAAGCTGTATCCTTCACTGTCATTCATCAAACATAATACTTGAGTCCCTTTACTATACAAAAACCAAATAATACAAGAATATAGATATACTTCCTGATTCCACAGAGCTTATAATCTAGAAACACAGCCCATGAAAGCATTTCAATACAAACTGGTAAATAATAGGAACAGGAAAACCTAACTCAGCTGTCAACTGTTGTTAGAGGCAGGCAGGCAGTGGATGGTTCCATCAGTGGTGATTTCTGAACTAAGTTTGAAGCATGGGCAGGAATAAGTAGGTCAGACGCATAACAAAGGAGCAGTCTTCATCAGACATTTAGCTTGCCTGAAAATCACAAGCAAGCACATCTAACAAGTTAGTGAAAGTTTCTTGAGAAACACCATTTATGTTTTGGTTTTAGTTTTTTTCTTGATAAAAACTTAAAATTTTTAGACTCTTAGAATGAACCTAACCTTGACTTATTTTTCCAGTTTTCATTCTGTGGACCATTTCATGGCCCATCACATAGGATATTACCAAAAGTGTGCAGGTGGCATCTGGCACATATCTCCAATCCTCTACCACCATCTCTGGCTTATGCATATTTGTTCATCTGATCTCCCAAACCAGAAACCCTGGAATTATTCCAAATTCCCTTGCTCCCCTCTTTTAATCAGTTATCCTGATCTGTCAACTTTACTTCTAAATATTTCTCAAATACACTGATTTTCTAGGATAGTCACTGAGAGGAATGGGAAATTGCCCAGTGACAGATAAATAATAGGCCTCAAGATTATAAGTCAGTTTTCAAAGAAGACATACAAGTGGCCAACAAACACAAAAAAATGTTCGACATCACTAATCATCAGAGGAATGCAAATTATAACCACAATGAGATGCTATCTTAAACCAGTCAGAATGGCTATTATTAAAAAGTCAAAAAATGGCTGGGTGCAGTAGCTCATGCCAGTACTCCCAGCACTGAAATGCTGAGGCAGGTGTATCACTTGAGGCCAGGAGATCGAGACCAGCCTGGGAAACATGGTGAAACCCCGTCTCTACTAAAAATACAAACATTAGCCGGGCATGGTGACATATCTGTAACCCTAGCTACTCAGGAGGTTGAGATATGAGAATTGCTTGAACCCAGGAGGCAGAGGTTGCAGTGAGCCGAGTTTGCACCACTGCATTCCAGCCTGGGCAACAGAGACTCCTGTCTGAAAGAGTGATGGCAAGGATGCAGAGTAAAGGCACAGCTTATACACTGTTGGGAGGAATGTAAATTTGTACCACCTTTATGGAAAACAGTATGAAGATTTCTCAACTAAAAATAAAACTACAATCCAGCAATCCCACTAGTAGGTATCTACCCCAAAGGAAATTATATTTTAAAATCACCTGTTTATCTCAGTACTATTCATAATAGCAAAGTTACGGAACCAAACTAAGTGCCCATCAACAGATCACTGGATAAAGAAAATGTGGTGTATATACTTATATATACATATACACATATACATACATACACACCACAGAATACTACTCAGCCATAAAAAAGAATGAAATCATGTCATTTGCAACAACATGGATGGACCTGGAGGCCATTAAGTGAAATAATACAAAAAATTTAAAAAACCACACGATCTCATAAGTGGGAGCTAAATACTGTGTACACATGGACTTGGACAGCAGAATCACAGACACTGGAGACTACAAAGGTGGGAGGGGGTGAGACATGGGGAAGAATTTACTGCGTACGATGTATACTATTTGGGTGAGGGTATACTAAGCCCAGATTTCACCACTAGGCAATATAGCCCTGTAATTAAAGTTAAATGGATATAAATCTATAAAAATTACAAAAAAGGTTTCTAAAGAAAGACTGGAAGTCAGAAGCTCTGAGTTCCAGATGTGCTTTTTCCACTATCTCATTTTCTAAATGTAGGGTATGAATCTCAAAATTTAACAATTGACAATTTAAAAAATACAAAAACTGCCAAAATAAAAGAAACCTTTTTAAATATCTACGTTTCTTGGCCAACTTGGCTATATTACTTGATTTCCAAAGGGATTAGTGGTTACTCATCCACAGTTTAATTGTTTTGTCATTTTCTAATGCTGCTGATGCAATGAGGTTTTCTGTAGGATGACAAGCTGCTGAGATCACGACATCTGTATGGCCTTGTAATTTCTGTACAATCTCTTTGGTCTGAAGGTTCCAAATGTAAACCAGGTTATCCTCAGAACCAGACACAATCCACTTTCCACCAGTAACTGAAAAATTGGCAAATATGCAATATTTCTCATTCTTATGACCAGTGTATGTTTTCAGGCATCTGCCTCTGGTATAATCCCATAGTTTAAGAGTATTGTCCAAAGTTGCAGTGAGAATATATTTACCATTTGGAGAAAATTTTACAAACGAGACAGGAGGGTTATCATCATCAACTAGCGTTTTTAAACACTGGCCTGATGCAGCATCCCAGATTCTACAGAGGCCATCATAGCTACCTGACACTATCAAGGACCCACTACAATTAAAATGAACAGCAGAAACTGGGTCAGAATGAGCAGACAAAGTCTTGAGGCACTTTCCTGTTTTTACCTCCCATATTTTTACAGTCTCATCAAAAGATCCTGAGATGATAAGGTTGGATGGTGGATTGAAGTTACAACAAAAGACATAATTACTGTGCCCCTCCAGTGTTTTCAAACATTTTCCAGATCTCGCATCCCATAATTTTAGAGTTTTATCATCTGAGGCAGAAACAAGACGACTGGAATCTGATGACCAGGCAACATCCGATATTTCCAGATTATGACCATAGAGCGTTTTCTCGTATTTTCCATCATATGCTCCCCAAATTATGATTAGCCTATCAGCAGAAGAACTTGCTAGCCATTCTCCATTAGGACTAAACTTAACTGATGATACTGCTTCTGTGTGTCCCACGAGAGTACATTTGAGAGCATAGTTTGGGTTTTCAGGCACTTCCTTGCTCTGAGTGGCCGATGAGGAGGGGGCCAACGGTGCTTGGGCATCTCCTGACTCCTTCGTTGCCATGTCTCTGGAGCTCCAAGTTCGCAGGTGTACTAGGCGTCCAGCCCTGAACCAGGCTGTCCAGTACTTTGGCTTTCTGCCCAGCAAAATGAAGATAAACACATTTGATTTTAAAATGTACGATTCTGAAAGCTTAAAATTTATGGACAGTCTTTAAACTGTGTGATATACTGAATCGGCAGCACGGCTTGGACTTCAGTTTTTCATCTTTTTGTTAAGTACTTGAGAAATACTGTTAGAAGGATCGTGTGCGCTGTGAGCGAGTAGGACACAAATGTTCGGCATTCTGTTAATGCATAAAGCCTTCAAAGCACGGGCGGCGTGAGGGAGACCATTTACAGAAAGCATTCTTTCACCGCCGCCCCCCTCCCCCGCTCCGAAATGTTTCAGAATGCTGAGCAACCCTACCAGTCAGACTAGGTACTTGAAGATGAATGAACTGCCGCTTTTAGCGGATTTCAGAAGCTAAAAGAAAACCTACGAAGCCACCGAAACTGGAAACCCTAGCCTGCCGGCGGCTTTGCCACATACCAGCAGGTGAGCGCTGCCGCGTCGGCCTCCAACAAAGCCGGAAAAGCAAGCGGGCGTATGTACAAAGGAAGTCCCTCCTACAGCTACCGAGCTGAGGTGACCAATGGAAGAAGGCCGTTTGTCCCTACGCAAAAGGAGTCGTCGCTACTTCCGGTCCTTTTCGCCCCGCCCTTCAAAATTAAAAGCGACTGCATTCTTGGTTGAACGCGTTAGCTGGGCAGGGTTTGTTCCAGACCTTACAAGCTAGTGTGGGAAGCCGTGGATCGTTATTTCAAAGACCGTTCAAGGCTATGAATATAACTAGTTATGTTCTATTGTTCATTCATGTTCTGATATTAACATGTATTCCTAACATTGAAGTCCTTAGGAAATTAGGACTAAGAATTTCAGTTTGCTTGCTTGGGAGGCGCAGGATCTTTAGTGACACTGCAGGGCAGGAGCATGGAATACTGATACAGGTAAATCCAAAGTGGCAGAATAAAGATTTGCATTTTGGGTTCTTCATCTTTGAGACAGTTTTGCTCATCGCCCAGGCTGGAGTGCAATGGCGCCAAATCGGCTCACTGCAGCCTCTTACCAGGGCTCAGGTGATCCTCCCTCCTCAGCCTCCCACGGGAGGCTGCCCTATTCCCAGTTTCACTATGTTGCCCAGGTTAGCCAAACAAAATTTCTTACATGTTCTCATTAACAGTTTTCATTAACAGTTTCTATTTCTGCTGCCCTTAACTTTGTACCAAATAGGTGCTTTGGAAGTTTCCTTTGTATAGAAATCAACTAGGTTTCTTTGAATTTCTCATAAACATCTTAGAAATCAAAGTCTTTTATCTATAGTTTAAAGGTGTTTCCCTTGCCCCTCAGTATTTTAACTACCTAAACAGATGTGTTGCCACAAATGGGGCAATTTATTTAAAAACAATTTTTTTGTAGGTGCGTGAGATCAAACCGTAGCCTGGGAGTGATACCCACATTAAAGAATGTCTTAACTTCCTTGATAGCAATTATTGACTACTAAATCCAGTCCTCAATATCAAGCATTAATACAACTATATATATATACCTAGTTGCTTAGGACCACTAACCAATGTATGAAAATCTAGTTGGGCTAAATATGGAGTGGCCACATAACATTATCCGAACTGGGGCATTTTTAAAAGTGAAAGAGGGCAGTGAAATAATTCACAGGTGTTAGTTGACCTCCAAATGTAAAGTGGGACTGTCCCCAGCAAACTAGTACTTTTGACTTCCAAAGAGGACACTCCTTATAATCATAACTTAGTCTTGGAACATTCCACACTCTATGATATAGTTTATACCTCTGCCTGCTCAGGTCTCTCTCAAACTTGGTCCTGTTCTCTCACCACCCACTATGGTCTTTTGGGTTTCTGTTTTCTCCTTACCCATCACTGTCCTAATAATGCCAAGCCCAAGTCGGAGTAAAGCAATGATCTTTATTGTGGACACCCAGTGGACTCCATTGGTCTTCCTCTGGTTAAGTGAATATGAATAAAGAATTAAATGAGTAATTTTACTTTCTGCAAAAAACAATCACAGAAAGGACTGTATATTAGAGAAAACAATGACTTCTTCAAAATTCAAATGAAATGGAGCATCAATCATTCAAGCTATCTTTAATAAATTTGTAAACCCAGTAATTTTTTTTTTTTTTTTTTTTTTTTTTTTTTTTTTTTTTTTTTTTTTTTTTTTTTTTTTTTTTTTTTTTTTTTTTTTTTTTTTTTTTTTTTTTTTTTTTTTTTTTTGAGACGGAGTCTTGCTCTGTCACCCAGGCTGGAGTGCAGTGGCACAACCTCAACTCACTGCAACCTCCACCTCCCAGATTCAAGCTATTCTCCTGCCTCAGCCTCTTGAGTGGCTGAGATTACAAGCATAGATAATGGCCTGCTAATTTTTATTTTTAGTAGAGACAGGGTGTCGCCATGTTGGCCAGACTGGTCTTGAACTCCTGACCTCAAGTGGTCCACCTATCTTGGCATCCCAAAGTGCTGAGATTACAGGCACGAGCCACCACGTCTGGCCATAAACCCAATAATTTTGTACAATACATAAAACAATGTAGTCTGCAGGAACGAAAGCTATCTTTTGCCTCAAATGTTTTTTGTTTTCAGAAAAAATACTTGGGGTCAGTGGAATCTTTCCAACAAAATAGAAGAGAAGCAGTCATGGAGTGAAGAAATAAACCATCTTTCTGTTTCTATTCATCTAGAGAAATGGCTAAAACAACGTATGTGACACATACAATATGTAAAAAGGAAAAATCCCTGTTTAATAACCTAAGGCAACCACCAGCTTCCACATTGGTTGGATATAATAAATTTTTATCTTTACTGTAAAATATACCTATCTGCTTATCTAAGACACAGTTTTTGTTTTTGTTTTTGTTTTTAAACACAAGACCTATGCTATGACAGTGTTTGATTTTGTAAACTTCAGGTCAAATCATGTCTTCTGAAAAGTAACTGCATATAAAACACATGTTGCGACACTCGCTCCTTAATCCTGGTTTCAAGTTAACGGCCTAAAGGAATTCCTTTGAATTTTCTTAATCAAGCGCCTTTTTCTAGCATCACAAAGATGCATGTATATTCCTTGATTTAATATTTATTAAATGTCTACTATGTACCAGGCACTCACCCATGGCCTGACAGAACACATTCAAGTACAAAGAATCATTAAAGCCATTCCAAATCAAAGTGTCAGAACACTTTGAAGCAGGATGTGGAGTGGTCAGAATGACTTGAGGTAAAGCAGAAATACTCAACAACCAGTACATTAAAAGGTGATTTTAACTTTTGACCTTCCTTGGGATGACAGTCTTTAGGAAGAAGTAGACTGTGTTGAATTCACATCCATGGCACTGCTTTCTAAGGCAGTCATTCTTCAAAGCCTTTCCTTCATTGTCAATACCTTCAACATTTGTGCATTTGAATGGATCCATGTGTTTAGTCATTATGTTATTAAACACAAAACCATCATTTGCACATTTTAAAAAAACCTGTTACTACACTTCTCTGGTCATACATAATGTTAGCACCACAGAAGGGGCACCACAGAAGGGGAAAGATGTTTGGCCTGAGAGGGTCTACACTTCAGTCTGTTTAACCTAAAAGCAACTTAAGCCTAATTTCATCATTTCAAGGGTGCTGATGGTAAGGAAGAGTCAGGAAGAATGGTCCAACAAAAAAGGCTGGCCCAGTTGTGGCTGCCAATTCTAGTTCTGGGAGTTCCTGGGCACGGATCTACTGTGTGGCCACTGTTTTCTTCAAGACACTGAATTTACAGGGCTCTTCCTCTCCCTTGGACAGCCATCTAGGGGTTGTAACCTTGGGGCAAAGTAATTCATCTTAAGTCTTCACTTTGTCATCTATAATATAGTGATAATGATCAAAGAGTATCTGGGAGATTACATAAGAAAAAAGGAAAGCCCTTAGCCAGGTATCTGGTGTACAACAGACGATCAAATAAAAACAAGTTACCTTAATTTGACCTATGGGAAAACACGCTGGGACTTCGTTTACCCTTAGTTGAAACAGAATGGAACTTCATCTACTTTTCTTCCTTCTTACCCCAAGCTTCTAGACGTATTTTATGTCCAGTAGTAATTTGATACTTTAAATTAGCATATCAATAGTTGCTTTATCACATATTATGATGCCCTGGTATCTTGTTATAACCTGTCCTGACAGTAAAATATTTTATGGAATTTTTATGATAGCCAACTTATTACTATAGTAGTCACATCTGACCTTCAGTAATATATTTTTAATTACTTTAACTTCTGATGACAGGAAAAGGTAGACCAAAAATTTCCCAACCTGGCAGATATATATTTAATCTGTTCACCTCACAACAGAAAGAATACTGAAATGGATAAAAATTCAGATTTGAGACTTCCATGTATATAGGCATACCTATCTTTGCAAATGAGCCCATTTTGGAATGCAGGAATTAGCATACTTTATGAAAGTTGAAAGCGAAGAACGCTGGTTTCTAAAAGTGGATCACTTTTTCTTCACTGAGCATCATCCCTAGATACCACAATTTCCAATATACTTAAAAACCATCAACCCCTAAAAAGTTATGATTTACCTACTGATATAAAACTTTTCATAAAACTTACAAGAAAGAAAAATCCCTTGGCTCCAGGTAAACCTTTTCATAACACATTCCCAAGTTGGGGGATTAAATAGCTGAAATGTTTATTTTGCACTAGAGAAGTAAATTCAAAGTTACCTGCGGGTAGACATGTACAATAGAAGATTTAGTTGACAAAGTTTGGTTTATAAAATATACTTACATATTGTTTCTTAGGCAAAAATCAGCAGCAACCTGGAATAATTCAGATTTTTTATAAGATAATTGCCAATCTTTTTCTCTGGGATGATAATGCTGAAAATGACCCACAGCCAATCAGCTTCATCTGGGACATGGAAGAAACAATTCTAGGGCAATAGAGTTTTCAAAAGCAGAACTGACAAAGATAAGCATTTAAAAGGGTCTTGATTAGTTAATGACAGGAACATGAAAGTGTTCCACAGAGAACTCTTGTCTCCTAAATCTCTCCTCTCTTCTGATCTACCATCTACCTTCCCCAGAAATTCTCAGTCCAACCACATCTACCTGCTGGTCCATCAGATACCAAATGCTTATACATCCAAAATTCCTTAATGCTTCCCCACCAAGGTTCTCATTACAAAGAATATAGATTGGAAGTTTGGAGGATGGGGTTAAAAAAAAAAAAAAAAAAAGGAAAGGTAAACAAAGCCACTTTCCCCAATCCGTATAAAAAACTCCAAAGGGGTTTTCCTGCATTGAAATTAACATGCTTTTATAATGAGCAACACCTTAGTGGTAGGGTATTCAATGAATTTAAACTAAGTTAACAAAATATGACAGGCAAAGAATTAAAAACAAGATTTACAGTTGCCCCTTAAAATGTCATTTCTATCACCAAAAAGCCTGCTTCAGTACCAAGTTCCAACATATCTGAGTATAATTATGCTATATTTAACTTTTAGCCAATTCCAACTTTGATGCTTTAAGAAAAAAATTACTTTCTTGTTAAAAAAAAAAAAACTTAG